AGATTAGATTAGATTAGATTAGATTAGATTAGATGAAACTTTATTAATTCCTCGGATGGTTTCCTCCGGAAAATTCAGTTTCCAGTAGCACAGCACCGACAGAAGTTGCATGTTACAGATACAATAAGGGGAATGAGAGTAAGGATATAAGCATAAATACACCATATACACACATGTATAAATACAGAATATACAACATGGATAAATAGGATTGCACATTTGAGGGACAGCACAGTTCCCTGTGGTGCTCCTGTGTTGCTGACCACAGTATCAGACGTGATGTCCTTCAGCCTGACGTACGGTAGTCGGAGATCCAAGCAATCAGGCAGCTGTCCACCTGCATCCTGTTTAGTTTCTCCAGGAGCAGACAGGATTGCATTGAAGGCACTGGAAAATTCAAGAAACAGGATCCTGACCGTGCCTTTTCCCTTTTCCAGGTGTGATTGGGCTCTGTGTAGGAAGTACAGGATCTCCACCCCAACATCCCCCTTGTAAGCGAACTGTAGTGGATCCTGGGCCACTACAGTAAGAACAGAGATGAGTGCCTAGCGTGCTCTCATATACATGTTGTTTCCAAAAGAATTCAATAACTATTCAAAAGCAACATTTATTACAAAACGACAACAATAATAATATCTCTGAAGGATGATACAGACATTATTCAAATAATTAAGGCTTAGTGGACTAAATCAGAAACTCACACACGTAATCCATTTTCTCATTTTTCCTGTTTCCTGTTGAGTCAGGGACCTTTTGAAAGGAAATTCAAACAGAATTTTGACGCAGTAGCAAGAACTCTGTTTCCAAACTTTAAATGTCAAAAGTCATACATTTTTGAACTGTGACCTTTAAAGTGAAAAGAAAAAGAAAAAGATTCCCTTAAAGGATGTTTAATGGATAGGAAATTGTTTGTTTTTCTTACTGGGAGTTGTGCTTTGTGTTGTGCTACAAATATTTAATAATGTAAGAGCTTTATTTTTTAGAGAATATGTGAAAAATTGGAATTTATTTAAGACTCAGGAGTGGGACCACATGCCCAAACACTGCCTTCCTGTCCTTGCATTTGCACACCTGTAACCTGTTTGCTTTTGTTTCTTACACCCCATCACCGTTATTTCTCTTCCCAAATGCTGCCACTGACCCACCACTTTACTTCTCATTCTTCTGAAATCTTCACTGACAGTTTACAAGTGTTTGGCATATACATTCATTGTTAATTTGACTGAGAATGTTAATGTCTGACCTAGTGGCCCTGCCAGGAGACTCCAGAGGATCAATTCCCAGGAGGAGCTGGACTTCCAGGAGTCATCAAGTGGCTCGGACCAGTCGGAGCTCTGTGGAGAGGACAGCATTGGGGAGCTGGACTGGACTCCCAGGCAGGAGCAAATTTTTGAGAGGTTGGTAATGAAGTATTAATTCACAGCACTGCTGAGTCTTCATTGGATACTGGAAGAGAGTGGAAAAAGATACAGGGAAACTCTGAGCATCATGTGTAATTCTTAGCTTTAGGGCCAGTCAATGCTATTAGTTCCTTCATCCCCTAGGAACTGCCTGTATACTCTTGTCACATTAGGCTGGGCATTGTTGGGCTCGACTGTGCTGAGCAGTGAGCACAGGGCCCAAAAGAGGACATCATGCCCTCAGGCCACCCTCATGAAGCCTAGAATAGTATAGCTGCTTTATTGTTGTTCAGAATATACACCTGTTAGTGCAGATCAGCATGAAATTTCAGTGCATGTACTCGCCATCTGACTGTACAATATAAATGATAAATAAATCCAAAGGTATGAAAATAATCTCAGATTTGTAAACGTATGTGAATACAGGAGGAATTTGTCTATATTCATTATTAGAAAACGGGAGAAAACCTGTAAAGAATATTAGGAAAAACTGCCCTAAATATACAGTCACATTGTGCATATATGTTTGGGGGTTGGAGGGTAGGGGTACAGCATAGAGGAGTAGCTATGAGTTCCAGAGTCTGATGGCATTGGGAGTGAACCTGTTGCAGAATCTGACTGTCCTAGACCTGATGCTGCAATATACCTCTTGCCAGAGGGAGCAAGGATGGGGTGATGGGCGCGGACGGAGTCTTTGATGATGGTTACAGGTTCTGCTGAGACAGCGTCTGTGCACGACATCCTGGATAGATGGAAGAAATGTCCCAATGATCTTCTCAGCAGTCCACACCACTCTCTACAACGATTTCTTCACTGTGGGGAATGACTGGGCTGTTCCAAATGAGCTGTTGAATGCGGTGGAAAGATTCGACACATTCACAGGGCTTCATCTCACCATCACTACCAGGGAATCACAGACTAAGCTCTAACGAGGGACCATGGGACACAGCACATACAGTTTGAGAGAGATGAGGGAACTGGCCACCAGTGGGAATACAGCTGATACTAATCACAGACAAATGGAAAGCAAAACAGTTTTCCCTTATGCTACCAAAATAGAAGAGGAAGTAACAGAACACTGGAACTGAATCACAGGCTTGACTTTGAGACAGAAAGGTAAAGAAACAAAGAGAGACAGACCAAGACATGAGAACTGACAGGGACAGGAGATAAAAATGGAGGCATGATTGACACTGAGACCCAGACAAAGATACTCAAGCTACACACAGACAGAAGACAAAACAGAGACAAGACTTGGATGGACCGGACACAGAAAGGAATTATCATCTGAAGAGAAACCAAAAACTGGAAGGCAAGATGACAAATGCAGAAGCGCCAATAATATAATACACAGGACACAAAATAGACAGGCTTGACCACAATTACCATCACAAATCCAAAAGAATACACCGTGAATACATAAAAGTCAAAACCCTGGGTCAATGACTCGGAGACCATGATACTAGTGCACCTGTTGTTAATTTCATTAAAGCCAAATCACATAAAACCTGCTGCTTATGTGACCAAATCAGAGGTTTAATTGAGTTGATGCTATACACTAATTAAAAAATATTCATACAAATAAAAGAATAAAGAGGGAAAGAAAAACCCACAAACAATAAAAAAGCACAAGGAAATTTAAAATAGTCATAATCATAATAAATTTACATATGGGCTTAATCAAGCATTAGAGATAGTTTGTGCTATCTGATCTGATCTGAGTGATCTCAGATATTTGTGTTCTCACTTATATCCTCACCATGCAACATCTACACAAGTTCAGTGGTTAAATCAACATATTACTGATGAACAGATCTCACTATCACATTTTATTCTCCTTTATTTTCCCTCAGAGACATGCTGCTGAGCCCAGAGAGGATGACGAGCCAGAACCGGTTTCGCTTCCAGCCCAATACCTCCTGTCCGAAACCGCAGGCAAGAGTGTCCGATCAAACTGGTGCCAGAATTCTGCCCAACTCCAAAGTCACTGTTCCCAAACCTTTCCAGATGATGCTAAGAGAAGAGGAGAGGAAGAAGCACAGAGTGCGCACACGTTCGGAGATTGAGCTGGAGAACACGCTGCTGAGGCAGGAGTTGGAAGAGCTCCGAGAATGCCAGAAAAAGTTCCGGGCGTCACCTGCTCCGGCACACATACACCTGCCTCTCTATGAAATTATCAGCCGTCGCAATAGTCAACGGTCAAACCAAAGCAGAAGCAACACCAACAATAACAGGAACATGGATGCTACAAGCACCCAGACCTCTACTGCACTCTCACCACAGCCTTTTCAGTTTTTGGAGAGAGAAAGGAGGAAGAAGGAGGCCAGGATTGTGGCAGAGCTTGGAAAGTTTGGTGAGAGAATTGAGCGACATAACTTCAAGGCAAAGCCAATGCCCACATCTATTTATGGCACCAGACACAGAGAGGGCACCATGACTACAAGCCATGATCCCCACACTCAAATCTTCTACAAAATGGAAAGAGAAGCTAATGAGAGCCAAAGTGATCAAAGCTCAGACCTGGAGCTTGATATGCACCAATCCGACTCCTCTCTCGACTCCTGCAGGTCCCAAAGAAGTCCTTCTTCCAAGCCAATGAAGAAGCAAATACAGCTGTCCATTGAGATGGTGAAGGAGAGAGAGACCCCTATCACTGACCCCAGCGGCTGCAACATCTGCTTGTCTCAACAGCTGGGTGGCCCAGAGCTTCTGCTCAGTAACAAAGGTGTTCTCAGTGTGTGACAAAGTGTTTAAAACTCACAGCAAAAAGGGAGACGAGGAGCAGCTACATCTACACTGTTTTTGAGTTAGTTTTACAATGCAGGCAAGTCAACATGGTTTCTAGTTGCTCTTGATCAAACAATAAAACACGGTTAAAGAAATGCATGTGCAAGGATGTGTTGTTTTTGTTTCTGTTTTTGAGGAATATTTTGCTTAATACATTGATTGTTTTCTGTCATAATTTATTGTTTGTTTCAGGTTGTTTCATTTTTTTCAGTATATATATTTAGAACCACCACAGTCGCATCAAGGCACTTTTTATTGTAAGGTAAAGACTTTAACAGTAATACAGAGAAAACCCCACAATGAAATCCCCCCTCTGAGTCCTCCTTTAAGCAAACAATGGGTGACAATGGGAGGGAAAAACCCCCACTTAACTGTTGCATTTGCTGTAACCAGTTAGGTGTGATGGAGACAGGACAAAAGACACAGTGTGAAAAAGAGCCAGAGATTAATAATGACTAATTATTCAATGAAAAGTGTATTAATACACAGTCAGTGAAAAAGGTAAGTGAAGAAGAAACATGCAGCACATCATGGGAAAGCTCTAGTAGCCTAGGACTATCGCAGTATAACTAGGCAGGAGTCAAAAATCCCCTGATCCAGCCACAACTATAAGCTTTCTCAACAAGGAAAGTTTTGAACCTGGTCTAATAGCAGGCTGCCTCCTGATCCTGAATCAAAACTGGGAGCTTTTGATTCAGGATCCCCACACACACACACACACATTCTTATCAAACATCTGCAAAGATGTCTGTCAGAAAAATGTGTTGTTGTTGTTTACATTCACCCGATGTTTTTTCTTGATAGCTTCACCTGCACGGGCAAAGTGCTTTCATTCTTAGCGCAAGAATGTAGAAAGAAATTTTCATTCTAGCAGAACAAGCTTCCACAATGCCGATTAACAGTCTTACAGTAGCGTCTATTATTCATGCTTCTCAGAACACACAACAAACGCGGAAAATCGTTTCAGCAGTAACAGTTTTATTTATGTTTTACTACATTGTATATTAGAGACTGTGTACATGCTGAACTCTGCCCTGCTGCAGGGTGCATGTAGCTCCACAGTCTCCTCAAGAGTTTTCTGTCTTGTGCTCCAGCAGATTACTGCATAAGAAGTACACTGACTATCCGACATGTGGGACATTCCTGGAATAGCGCAACCGAATCAGTGCATTTTATTTATCACTTTGTTAGGGTTGAAGGGAGAAGCAATGAGAAAGAAGTCTATACGACTAGGGTTGGACTAGGAGTACGGTGGGAAAATCTTGGGAAAATCATGCTGCACATAACAAAGAAGCAGAGGCTGGGGATCCCAAACACACAGTTCATTCACAGTAATGTGTAAACACCCTCCTGTTTTTTCCGTCTCCCAGCACGACCGTGTATCCAGTTAGATACTAAAGATTTCTGAGGAAATACTCGGGGGACTTCTGAGCGTCCCACGATGCGACAAAAGAGACGACCCGCAAACAATTACCCAGGAGACTGAGACATCACGCCCACTCAAACTTTAAATCAATTTTCGCCACTCACTAACTTCGGCTATTTTTTCCATCTCTGTGTTTATGAACTGTTCGGTAAAATGTTGCTCACACAGGTTACAAATAATCATGTACCCGTTACTGCAAGTTCAGGGAACAAAATACCGGTCTGGGCACATATTCAACCAATGACTGAGCATTCTCAGTGAAATGCCGTAAATAGCGGGGTGTTGGTATGTGTACCAAAATTGCGTTGGTGCCAGATGATCACACCGCTCACGGAAGTCACTCCTCCACGCGGGTAGTCAGCGTGCAGCTGAGAAGAGGGCGTGTAGCCTATTACAGTGCTGCAAGACGTCTTTAGAGATAAAAGCTTAGGTGTCAGTCACCGCACAGGAGACGAAAGGGCTGGACGCCTGTGAAACGTTAAGCCTTTTAAGCGGAATCCTGAAAATAACCAACGCTGGAGTTCATCGGAATTCTCAGGATTATGGAAACTCTGCGCATTCTGAGTCTGGGTAAGTGCACTTTATTTAAGCCTTTACTGAATAACTGAAGTCAAATAGCTAAAGTGTTTTTGCATTCGCTTGCAGGGGTGATTTGCATCAATATGATCTAACTTTAGCCTCCTGTTTTCTTAGTTGTTCGCCACAAAGCAGGTGTTATCAATGAAGCGCGGTTTGCGCTTCTGTTTGGAGAGTGGTGATTTCTTAAGACAAGTTGGCTGGCTTTTCACGGGGGGGATACCATCACAACCCTAAAACGGAGGTTTGTCCAGTCACCAAGTTAGACTTGAAGTCAGTAAATGCACGTGGCGCCCCCCGCCTCCCCACGCACTTTGCTGGCTATCTGAGTTTCTTAAACTCAGTCTCTCACTCAGCGCAGTCGATCTCCATCCTCCGCCCACTCCACTGCTGGAGCAGAGTGTGTTGTCTTTCCTCCTTGCTTCTTCATTGTACCGTGTGTTTGTGCCACTCCCTTCTTCGACTTTGCTTTTTGGGACACAATGTCAAATCATGTTTCTGGTCTCTCTCCCCCCAGCTGTGTTCGTGAATCTTTGCTATCCACAGGAGGTCCCATGTAATGTCAGTCATAGCCCACAAGGGATCATTTATAGAGTCCCAGAGTTCCAGGCACAGGCGTGTGACTATCACTGGGATAATGCAAGCGTAAGTTCAACACCTGCTTAGTTTGGGAAGGAAATTTTATTTCCTGATGTATCCTGTGCCTCTGTGTTTTTTTTTTGTTTTGTTTTTTTAAGCATAAATCTATTATATACAGGTGTTTCTCATGACAGATAAAGCAGAAAAAAGTGCTAAAAAGAATGAATTTAATGTTTGATTGTCTGATCGGCACATGGCCATGTGGCTTTATATGATTAATGAGATTGTTATGATAGCTCCAGAGCCACTATTTTAACCCTCTTACTGAATGAATTTGTAAAACTGCTCTGATTTTCTCATCTGTTGCCTTCAGGGTCATGTCCTCGCAAACCAGAGGGGTAAAATGGATAAACTGGTACTGAAAAGCAGTAACAGGAGTATTATGATTACCAGCTGTTTGAGCCACCTCAACTATACTCGGGACTGCATCTCTGAGGTGTTACACTCCTCACCTTTTAACTGCACACCGAGTAACACATGATAATTTAAAGCAGAGACACATAATTAATGACATTAATTTAATTAATGTAATTTCCTCTGCCTATCTTAGGGAATACAGCGCAGAGCAAGTTGTGACAGTGAGTATCTGCTTGCTTTATTTTAAGGGATATTTGATGCTACGTTTTTTCCCACTGAGGTAATTATAGATAATGTTTTTGATTTCTTCTTTTTACAGCTGACTGCAGTACTCCTGGAGGAGGTAGGAAACAGCAAAGCAGGAAATTATACTGATGTTAAGTTTTTATTATATTAGACAATTAAATCTTAATAATAAATTTTCTATGTAAAATTAGAAATGAATGACCTCTTTAAACAGGTATGGAAAGTTGAGATTCTCATCTCAAAAAAGAGATGAGCATCTGAGTCATAAAAACTGAATGGCAGTAAAGGAAGTCTAAAAGGGTTGTTGTCACACGCCTCCACTTCCTGTTGATGAATGAGCTGCTGAGGAAGTAGGTTTTTCAGTTTTCATTCATAAACAAGTAATCACTGTGTGATATTTAAAAATGTTAAATCACACTTGACCCAGTGCAAGAATTTAAATAGAATTCTGCTGCACTCGGTGCAAATTGGTATCTGGGACGTCAAGTCACTCATCAGCTCAGTTATGTAAATAAACTGTAATATCAATCTGTGGATTGATTATATATAATTTCACAGTGAGTCAATTATTGTTGATATTGTCACGCAGTGTTGTCGGGTGTTCATACAGAGAGGAAGTTTGGAACCTTATGGCTAATCACTGTTGAAATGTGAGTTAGTGTAAAAAAAAAAACTGATTTGCTTCTGAGACGTCTGAAAATAGAAGTTTTGATGTTGCAAAAATGTTATAGTTTTGTAGTACATATCACAGCTAGTCCAGAACTAGTTCATGAACATATAATGATGCTAAAAGGGAACTGTAGAAAACTGTGTCAGTTACTAACATGAAGCAGCTTAAAGAATAATAGACTGTTGTCATCCAATAGATGAATGCCTGGATGGATGAAAAATCACTTATAGCTCAAAAGTGGCATCAGTCATGTCACAGACAACCCAACAAGAATATTTTCTAAATGACTGGAAGTCTAATTCATGAGGGATACGCAGCTGCCTGTCAGTTTAAATAATGCAAAAATTGTACTTTGGAGATCTCAGGCAAAGTAAAGTGTTCAGCAGACTAATTGTCAAACTCTGTTTGCTCTTGTAGGGATACCTCGACATTACTGGTATACCATTACCAGTTTCTCCATCATGGCACTGCTGGTCGTGCTGGTTCTACTGGGCTGCATTTGCAGGTATTTCATTAGTGTACACAGTAGTATTAAAACAATCACTTGGCTCTTCTCAGGGCTTACCAACTCCTACGTTTCTGGAATGTGACACACACTTGTAAAACTTTGGTGTGCTGCCCTCACGCTGCGATAACAAATCTCAAATTGAAGTCTGAAAGCTCCTCCTTACTTCCAGAAAAGTCAGTGTGGAAGCGCCTTAAAACTGCACGATCAGTTGCAGTTTTCACGAGTGTTTTCCGAGGTCACTAAAAACACTTTGCTTACTGACCTCATGATCTGAATAACAAATAAAAATATTCTTTAATTCTCAGTCACACCATGTTTCAAAGAGGAAAATTAGGGATGGCATATTGAGCTTGTTCACTGGCTAATGACTGTCAATCACAGACTATTTGGTAATGAGTAAGTTTTGGCACAATCAGACCCACCGCTCCTTGTCACAATACGGCGACAGTGAAAGCATTGATTTTGATCAACAAATGACGTCACGCTAGCTATGTCCATCTTTTATACTGAAACCTTTTAGTGAAAGCCTTCAGCAGACATTTACACATGTAGCACCACGCCAGCAACTTCAAGGATTAGAATGTGATTTCTTTCAGACTATCTACATTAAACGATTTGGTTTTTTTTCCTTCTGTAACCAGATTGATCTTAATGAACGTGATAGCCTGTTAAT